CGGCGTGAGTTTTAAGCCACCGGGTCCGGGACTCGAACCGCGGTTGACTACGTGGAGTCCAGCAACATAGCCATTACGCTAACTGCTGGTCCCCCAACTGGTACGTTTTGTAACAGCTGTGACTGGTAGCCACAGTAAGGTTAGTCCCAACACACAGATGAGGAACCAAGGATAAAAGGAGTATAAGGCCCCAGAAGGAAGACAGGTCCTAGCTATGATGAGAAGAGAACCTACATTTCACAGCTCCTACTCCCTTCAGATGATGCTTCTTACCCATTTAATTAAATTATATCCTAACCTCTACTGCTTTATTAGGAAGCTGTTTATCAGTCCACTGTTTAAGCTTGATATCCACTGTAGTATTAAAAGTTCCCGAATTCATGGTCTGTGCAGCTGGAAGATAGATGTTTTCAATCACATGAGTTGATATTCTCTTTCCCACAAAGACTGTTGAAGGATTTCCTCCCTGAAATTAAAAAAAAAGTTACGAGAACACCAAATCTAAATACAACTGTTATTTTAAAAAAGTTTGATTAAAGCATCACTTTAAACTGCACATACTTAAAACTGTGGTAGGTTTTGACGTGTTTATACACGTGTGAGTCACAACCATCCACTGAACAAGCACATCCACCCTCCCTGGAAGGGGTAACCACGGGATCTGCTGCCTGTCACTGTGAGTACTTGTTTCAGAATCGCATATAAATACAGTCATACGGCATACACTCTTTTTTGTCTGTCTTCTTTCACTCAGCATATTTATTTTGGGATTCATTATACTGTTGTTTACATTCATATTTCACTTGTTTTTAATCACTGAATACTATGTCACTACATGAATTTGTTGATCTATTCACCTGTGGAAGTTGTTAGCTATTATACATGAAAGTACTAAGGGTATATTGAAGGTGGAATGACTAGGTCATATTGTAAGTATGTATTTAATTTTGTAACATACTACCAAACTGTTTTCCAAAAGGGCTGCAGCATTTTACATTCCCTGACAGATCATGAGAGCTCTAAGTCCTTTATATCCTTGCCAGTGCTTGGTATGGTCAGTCATTTTCATTTTAGCCATGTGAGTAGGTTTGTAGTGATATCTCACTGCAGTTTTTACTGATAATTTGTGACTAATAGTATTAATTTTGAAGATTTTTTTCATGTGTTTGCTTTCTTATTAACACATACTTTTTATGTATCATCTGTAGAGTCCAAGACTGAAAATTTCTTAGTTATAATTTTTATAATTCATCACATCACAGAACAAAACAGATATCATGACATTGCTAGATAAAATTTTTCAACTCTTCGTGATTAAAGTAATAATATAAAGGATGCATAACTGAGCTGAAAATCCTTCCTTCAAAGGCATAAGAACAACTATTTCTAAATGTGAAAAAGACAATTACTTCGATTAAAAAAAAAGTGAAATCTCAAGAAAATACGTATTTAGCTTCCCCAAACTAATTTGTACCATGAGAAAAAAACATTAAAAACAACTCTCCACTTATCCTTTCAGTCTTGAAAGTAACCCCACTCCTCCAGGACACACTTGCAGAGGTCAGAAGCCCCCTGCTGTCCAAAAGCCACACTGCACTCTCTGGGAGAGGAGAGCAATCCCATCCTTTCCAAACTCACTCATTAAATAGGTTGTAAATTAGTCTACTGGATCAATGAGCGGAGCTGCTGGTTTCTCCTAACTTTCAGGTCCATTTTTCACTTTCGATCAGAAAACGAAAGAAGAGTTTGAGGAGAGGATACAGCACTGAAGCCTCAAAGGACAAAGACAATACAGCCAAAGAAGAAATGAGTTCGTGCCAGAGTGGGAGATTTTGAGAAGACGAAAGAAAAACCTGCCAGGGCCTCCTCTCCTCTTCAGGTATCATTTTTAACACAAACCCAAGATTTCGGGAGGCTGGACAGACACCAGGACCCAGCACCTCGCCACAAGGGCTTTTCCTGCTCCTTATTCAGAACAGACATGCTCTGTTAGTCCTTCCTAGGAGTGTGTGGGCTGAGAATCCACACCTGGACACCGACACCCTTCAAGCAAACCAAAGCAAAACCTAGACTACCAGATCCCAACGAGCATAAGCTAGCTTTCTTAAACGGGGCCACTGCTTGCCCATCCGCCACAGGCAGCTGCTCTCACCTGCCCTCTCATCGCCCTGCGCTCCAGCTGCTTCCTCTAAAGGGATCATTTTTATTGTGCTCCTGATATTCTGTTCCAGGAAAATCAAACCATCTTACATCCTCACGCTTTCCCTGTCTGTTCCCTGTATCTCCAAATATTCTCTGGCTTTCTCTTCAAGACAGTGACTATTCTCAAATTCTGCTGAGGAGTTGAACATACTTCAAGTTACATCCTCCTCACCCCACCCATCTTTTCTGGACCATCAGTCCTCAACGCTCATGTAAAAATGAGAGCTGGTTATACCACCTGCTGCCTGCAGTGGGCGCTGCCATGGACCCTTTCCCCAGCACATGTTCTGTATGATTATAGGCCTCTTCACTGTAGTAGGTTTTGTCACCATCCAGGGGAAACTTCCACAAATATACAATAAGGTAATTCTTCAGAAATGCAACCTACACTCCATCTTAACTAAAAATAGTTTACAAATAGAATTTTTTTCTTTTAAAGCAGGGAACTTACTCCATATGATCATTTTAATCAAGGGCCGGCCTCATGGCCTAGTGGTTAAGGGAGCCAGATCCCACATGGCTCATCATGGTTCAAATCCTGGACCTAGCATCCTGAAAAACACTCCGGTATGTGTGCATGCATATCCTGGCAGGATAAAGAAATGGAGGAGAAGGGATTGTGGCACGACAATGCCCCACAGGGAGTGCTTTCCCCCTCCCCCTCTCTCTCTGGTGAGTGCAAGCGACTGGCCCCCAAAATCTAGAGAAAAAAAAAAAAACCAATTAAAAACGTAATAATTATAATCAGTATAATTAATACATAAAAAGTAAAAGTCTCCCATAATTCCTCTTTCAGGAGACAACCACTATTTACAGCTTATTATTAATTTACATAAATATGTATATTAACACAAGTGAATCCTGTTATACACAGTTTTACAAACTTTTCAGGTTTTTGCCATAGGGTGCATAGGCTCTCTGAAGAAAGACAGAGAGAGAAAGTCAGGAATAACCCCTGGGGGAATGGCCACATGGTTACATGATTTCTCCTTCATCCCCAGCCTCTGTGGGGATTCTGGACAGGCATGCACATGTTCCTGGCATGATTTTCCAGCTACCAGGCCTGGGACTTGAACCATGGAGTCAGCTATGTAGGAATCCAGGACCTTAACTACCATGCCACCTGCTGGCAAATATTTTTCTTAACCTAAAAGTATAATGTATATAGTTTTCCATGTCAACATCCTATATGGTGGAGGGGATTCTTTTCCTAAATTCAAGAAAAATGGGTATAATGAATAAAACATGCATGAATTAAAAAACTTTTTGTACCAACATAAGCTTGTCCTTTTTTTTTAACTGATAGAGAAGGCAGAGAGGTGGGGACGGGGAGAGGAGAGAGGGAGGACCCTCAACAGGGCCTCATCACGCTGCAGTCCCTTCCCCAGTTGTCAGCTCCCCAGGACCCTTGGGTACCTGTGTGTGTACCCAGCACTGTTTCAGGCTGACCTGGGATCCGAACTGTAGTTCAGCTCTCGCTTTCAAAGCCTCTAGCTTTATAGGGTACCTGTGTTACCATCATGCCACAGCAGCCAGGTCATAAACTCATCCTTTAATTCCATTTTCCCACAAATTTTCTAAGGTAACTGCATATTTTTCAATGGTTGTACACTACTTAAATCTGAATAAATCAAATACGATGTAATCCCAAATAGGAAATGTTGTTTTCCATTTTTAAAAAATGTTTATAAATAAAAACAAGGGGGACCAGCAGTTAGCGTAATGGCTATGTCGCTGGACTCCCACGTAGTTGAGCGTGGTTTGAGTCCCGGACCCAGTGGCTTTAACTCACACCGGGCGCGTGTGCGTGCGTGCCCAAGATCCAGGGAGGAGAAGGGATTGCGGCATGGCCATCCCCCCTGGAGGGTGATTTCTCTCTTTCTTCTTTCTGAATCTGTCTCTCTCTGTCTTTCTGATGAGTGCACACACCCTGTAGCAAAAACTTCTCCAACAACAACAAAAAAGATAAAATAAAAATAAGGTGAAAATATTTATGGGTTCATTTTTGTCAAATATAAATTTCCACATATTTCTAACAATGTAATTATTAGATAAAAATGCACTCAATGTTTTAATAGAATCTTCATTATTTACGTATCCAACACTAAATCCTGTCAGTTCTATAATCTAGGAAATCTCTCAGCTATCTGAAAAATGTCTCCTCTTTTCTACCTGCATGACCACCACCCATGTTTGAGGCTGCCACTATCTCTTACCTGAATTACTGCAACAGCCAACTATGGTGACATTTAAGCTACTCCCAACTATATGTCACTTTCCGTACTATAAGACCTTTCTAAAATTCCAGTATGATTTAAACCTCTTCGACGGTGCCTTTTGCTCATGGAATAAATTCTAGTCTTCTGAACACGGCTTAGGAGCCTGAACAATCGTGTGTATCCTGTGCTCCATCTCCCGCCTCTGCCTCCATCTGCAGCAAAGCCGGGGACCCGCCACCTGGGCTGCCTGTCTTGCTCTCCTCCTGGCCTTCGCAGCGCTCTCCCCAGTACTCACTCTTTACATCTCAGACTACACCATTGCAAATCTCAAATCTGAGTTAGGAGACTTGACTGTGCTTTCCCACTTCTGTTTTATTCTTTTAAATGAAATAAAAATAAACTTAATACTTTTTACAAACATTGCATGCATACACTACCATAATAACATTTTCCAAAAAAGTGTATTTTGGGGCTGGCAGGTGGCATGGTGGTTAAAGTGCTAGACTACCACATGGTTGACTGACTGAGTCCTGGACTGGCAGCTTGCTTTCTCATTCTTCCTTTCTCTCTCTCGCTTGTCAAATTGAAGAATAACAATAAATAAAAAATTTTTAAATAATGTATATTTCTATGAAGTCAGCCAGCTATTCATCTAGAAACAAGATATCTATATTGATGGTCATATAGTGTAATGACACATTGGTATCTCTTGCTTAATGTCAGTAATCAGTTCTTGAAAATCAGGTAGATTGCATGAAAACTGAGAATCTACTTCCCTTATAATGCATTATACGTCAAATCTAAACCCATGGTTACTACCTTAAAACATAACTAAAGTGGGTCAGCAGTGGGCCAGAGTGGTGGTTAAGGCGCTGGACTCCAACATAGAAGACCCGTGGTTTGAGACCAGGATCTAGTGGCTGAAAAATCACATTGGGTACATGTGTGTGCATTCCCAAAATCTCAAAAAGAAGAATGGAGGAAAAGGGAAAGTGGTATGGCCATCCCTCTGCGGGGTGATTTCTCACTCCTCCTTTTCTCTCCGGCAAGGGCAGAAGCCCTAAGACAAAAACTTAAAAAATAACTGAAGTACAGCAGAACGTCTATGACTAAATAACAAAGTATCCTGTTAAGACATAAAATGTTTTTAGCATTGCTTCCAGAACATGAACTATGGATCCAATAGGCTGGTGACTTAAATGATTACAAACATCTCAGGCATGTGTCCTAAAATTTCATGTAAGGCATTATGCAACAAAAGGTGCTAACAAAAACCCCTAAGACAACATTAACTATGTCTCCAAAATAAAACCCCTAAGACAACATTAACGATGTCTCCAAAATAAAACCCCTAAGACAACATTAACGATGTCTCCAAAATAAAACTCCTAAGACAACATTAACTATGTCTCCAAAATAAAATTTTTTGGGTATAATGCAGTTGATTCTATGTGGTGTGGATAGTTAAGATTAGGACCTGCTATTTTGATCTGTTTGTATTATGCTCGAGTCTAAAAAAGAGATAAAACGATGACAGAGAATATTATGCTTGCGCAGTTTACAGAAATAACTCTCTGTCTTAGTTCTCACTTTTATCTTTCCAATGGGCAGTCTGGCCAAACATGTTTCTTGTCCTTTCACAATTCCTTTCAGCCACGTATGTATTAAACAAATTAATTAATCCTCAAGGCTTACTTTGATTTCAGGGTTGCTCTATCCAAACAAAACTAATTTGTTTTACATTTGATGGTACCAGAAATTAATTTTCAAAGGGATCACATCTTTCCCTCCCATAAATAGCACTGTTACAGTTTACAAATTACTTTTTAGATACGTTACCCTCATAAAACCTAGCAACCTAGTGTTTATGTATATACACACCTGCAATAGCACACACATACATCTATATGTCTGTACACCCCTTGCAACGTCAGAATCTAATGAACTTTTTACAAAGGAGTAGAACTGACTTAAAATATTCATAACAAATGAGTTGTATATACATTCAACTAATTAATCAACAAGTATCAATAAGATCAGATCTCTCCTTTGGATAAGGAGAGACTAAAAACAGGCAAATTTTTACAACCTAAAAAGGGAAGAGGATTCACCACTGAGGAAGAAAGGCCCCTGATACGGGGAAATGAGTGATAGGGAATTCAATCTGAAAAGCTAGACGTGACTGTCTAGGTTCAATTTTGATAACCTTTAACTGAGCAAATAGAAAGAAAATATGTACCATGAATGTCATTATGAATAGTTCTGCTCCAAGAATAATACATTCTTAAAAATGCCACAGAATGTATTAGAAAGAAAATTTATACACAAGGAATTTGTTAATATATGACTGCAAAAATTTCAAAGCTATACAAAGCTTGCTTAAGTACATAGAGTCTATCTGGTCACAGCATCCTATTCTAACAAACTTACAAATGACTAAATTTATATCCTAAAATGTAAATTGAAAGTGATACTTTGCTTTAAGAGTTACATGAGAATTTTTTGAAAGGATGCATCTACTTACTAATTTTAAAAAATCTAAATTAGTATTCAATTTGAAATGTGATTTGTATGCAACATATTAGGCACATGTTACAGAAAGTACTAACCCTTTTTTTTCCTACTATAGGATACACACGCTTACCGCAGGGAGACAAAGAGAGAGAAAGTGAGAAATTGCTCCCCAGGAAAGATGGCAATGCTGCGATCCCTTCGCCCTCCTTCCCCTCTTAGGATTCTCGGCACGCAGGCGTACACGCCCAGCATGACCTTACAGTCACAGGGTCCAGGACTCAACCACACAGTCAGCTACATGGGATCCAGCGGTGCCAGCCTCCACGCCACCTGCTGGCCCAAGCACTAACTATTCTCACTCAGAAACAAGAATCTGAAAATATATACTATTTTTCCTTTACAAACCAGTATTGTTCTACAGAGACTATAAATTAATCTAACAAGAGCAACCAGATCTGATAGATTGATATTTACCTACAGCACAATCTGATGAAACTTTAGCCTTAAGGATTTTATAGAAATCACAATTACATAAGATAAAAAAGAACGTAAGATAAATTGAGAACAGAGAAAGTTATCTTCCAGAAATTTAGTTGGTTAAACTATAACCGTGGTTAGGTTTTGCAAAAAAACTATTTTTATGTTCTTGCCTGCTCACTGTTTTTTCACGAGCTAAAGCATCAGCAAAGCACTGTTACATCAATCTATTTCACTGTAACTCATAAAGTCAGAAAGGGATTAAAAGCAAAGTTAAATACTCACCAATGTTTCGGTGTAACCTGGCTCAGACTGATAACTTCATCGAGGATTTCATTTTTAGCTTTTTCAAATAGTTCATTCTAGGCAATATGGACATGAGTAAGTAAGATTTTTGTAAGACAGTCAACTTGTCCTGTTTAGAATTTTGAAAGATAACTTAGGAGGGGCCTTTGAAGGCTGGTAGGCTGACTAGGTTTGAACACACATGATGGACAACAATGCTCTCTATTCTAGTCTCCTTTTTAGAAATGCCATTATCCGAATAAGGACAAAAATGCTGACAGAAATGTCTAACTTTTTTTACTCAATTTCAAATGTAGTTTTTTACATAACATTTGGTCACCTATGATTTTTACTTAAATGTTGTGTGAACACACTAATTCATATTAATTTAGTGCATCACTAACAGACAATGAGTTGTGTGTTTTACAACTACTGGCATCTTAAAATCAAGAAAAAACAATGTTTTGTTCCCACTAAATTAGATTTCTCCAATAACTTAGGAGGGGCCTTTGAAGGCTGGTAGGCTGACTAGGTTTGAACACACATGATGGACAACAATGCTCTCTATTCTAGTCTCCTTTTTAGAAATGCCATTATCCGAATAAGGACAAAAATGCTGACAGAAATGTCTAACTTTTTTGCTCAATTTCAAATGTAGTTTTTTACATAACATTTGGTCACCTATGATTTTTACTTAAATGTTGTGTGAACACACTAATTCATATTAATTTAGTGCATCACTAACAGACAATGAGTTGTGTGTTTTACAACTACTGGCATCTTAAAATCAAGAAAAAACAATGTTTTGTTCCCACTAAATTAGATTTCTCCAACGTAAATATTGAAAAGGTAAAAAGGTGATGTACAACTAAAAAGAGATTAGATTACATAAATACATTAATTCTTTAAGACCTTTTAAGAATATTTTCACCTTCTTGGTGAGACAAACCCGTGTTACAAACCCATGTTTTGGCAGCTCAGCTCATGATCCATAATTACTTTTAAATGTTATATAATAAATAATTTAAATGATTGCAGAAGAGATGACTATTCCTAGAAATGTGTTCATGTACTCTAAATTAGTAGTTATGTCAAAACCAAAGCAACTCAGCCTACTAGGTTTCTCTCACTATCCTTCATGTTACAACACAACATTAAGAAATACACAGCCTAGGTGTAGTGGCATAGGCGGAAGGAGCTAGTGCCCGAGGCTGAGACACATGGGAAGCCCTGGTTCGGATCCCACACCAACCTGAAAAGGCCAGGCCCGGTAGTGTTCACCTAGCTAACTGCCTGGGAGGCAGGGCACAGGACCGCAATGGCAAGAGAGTCAGATACCTCTCTCTTTCTCTCTCTCCCTTCCTCCCTTGTTTTCCTCTCCCACTCTTGCTCTCTCCCCCATTAAAAACAACAAGAAAACGTGACATATACAAAATATATGGGGCATATTACCCGGTCAAGTTCTCGCAGGCGAGGGTAGTTATTCTTCCACTCTGTTTCAAGATTAAAACGTGTTGCTGAGGAAGAAGGAAAATGTTCAGGCTTGAGGATTCTCTTTCTTTGCAGATATAGTGGCTACATGCTATCTTGCATATCTTCTGCATCAACTGAATTTTTGAGGGTATACATATGGCTCTTTGGTACTCTGGACTCTTTTAGCACCTCAGAATTTCACTATTTCACTATTAAAACAGTTTTCTAAACTGTTCTCCTTCATTCTAGTTTCCTTGTTTTCAATCCACAAACACACAGCTGAAGCAGTTCAACACATCTGCTAGGAGTGTGGACTGGGAGCTGTTCCACCAATACTCTTAACACTGTGTGTATTACCTACTGCTGTGTGGCAGTGGGTAAGTTATTTGGCCCAGTTACCCTGTGTCTCTGTTTATTCTTCTGTAAAATGGGGAAAAAAATAATACTTACACGGTTACTGAAAGATTAACTGGAGTGAATAGGTAGGATTTCCACATGGGAAAAGGAAAGAAAACATATTCTCATCAGCCGAAACTACAGAAGCAGACATGGGGCAGGAAAGTGGGATTCAGCAAATATGGCAACGCAGCTGAAGCACGGGGCTTCCTAACACATTTCATCTCTTCTCCCTAAAAGGGGAATTGTAATTCTCTATAATTTACTGAGCTTTCTCCCACACACTACAGCAGACTTCCTAATCTGTTTAAACGTGGCAGGGCGCCCCCACCGATGTTTCCTCTGCAAGGGAAAATCCCATTCCTGTGCAACAACTGAAGTTTACTAGCCTTTTCCACATCTGATAGTAAATGAACTGAGCAACTGTTAAAGGCTAATGATCACCAGCTAAGAAAGTGTCTGAATTTGCTCACTTATTTAAAAATCCAACTTACCTTTGAAACTATCAGCCTGTTGTTCAACTGATTCTCGTACCATTTTCCAAAAACAGTCTGATACAGCAAGGCTTAAATTTCTTGTGGTCACCTGGTGTGCCTTTAGCATGCTTGTCCTGTAAAAATAAGAGCGAAAGTATACTAAAACGGTAAAAAGACAGTAACACTTATCACCCAGCTTGAGAAAGTACTTGTCAACAACATGAGATTAGTCAATTATACCTTTCATACCAGCTCTGATAAAATTTTCTATAATGAAAAAAAAGTTCTTTTTTAAAAAACGTTTTTGCCATAGGGCATGTGCACTTGCTGTGAAGAGAGAGAGTAAGAGAGAAATCACTCCCCAGGGGGATGACCATGCCACAGTCCATTCCCCATTCTTCTCTCTGGATTTTGGTGCGTGCACTCACACGCGCCCAGTGTGTTGTTTTTAAGCCGCTGGGGTCCAGGACTCGAACCGTGGAGTTGACCATGTGGAATCCAGTCACAATGGCATACCACCTGCTGGTCCAGAAAATGTTCTTTATCTGAGATGTCCGAGATGTAGCCAGTAGCCACGTGGAGTTACTGAGTCCCTGAAACGTGCGGCTATTAAGAATGATGGGTTACATTTTTAATTGAACTGAATGCTAACTAACCTAAATGTCAATAGTCACAAAGGGCCAGTGACTACTGGACAGTACAAATCTAGATGCCTGTCAGTCCCCTCCCAACATACACACTCCAGACTCTATCTGCAAAAATTATGTTCACTTTCTACTAATCTACGTGTAAATATGCTTTTCTACTCCCAGAAACTCTCTATGTATGGTTTTAGAATAATTCAGTTGCCCTTTAGTTTGGTTTTGCTTTTTGGTCACTATCTTATTTTCTGTCTACTTCTGTAAATATGTAGTTAGGGAGACCCACTGATGCCCTCCACTCCGATTTTCCCTAATACTGTAAAAGAGATGTGCGCAGAAACTTAAAAATGAAAATGGTAGTTTAAAAAAATTACTGCATAAGAAAAAGAACACAAAAGGTGTCTGTGCTGTCTTGTAGTGCCAAGGACAGTCCCTCAGGCCAGCACCATGGCATAGACTGCCCCATTCCGTCAGAGTGAAGGACTTTCTGATTACATACATTCACCTGGGAAAACTTCCAGAAATTCAATGTTAAACTAAACTAAAATCCGTTAACTTTATGTAAAAACAGTTCATTTACAGCTACTTCCTCATTATAAAATCTAACTATTTTAACAAGGCACTTACTTTAGGAGTTTTGAATTCTGAAAAAATTCTTCTTCGTATTCTCTTATAGCTTCAATGCTTTCAGAGCTGTTTCCTAGGGAAAGGTGGCAGTCAAGTTTTCATGGAGAAAATAAATCTTTACCATGTAAAAATAACAAAAATAAAAATAAATAATAATCTTTCTTTGCATACCTTTTCCTGTTACAACAGCAAAATAACCTAGAGCTTTCATTGGGAAGAGCTTTCCTTCAATTATCTGTTGAATCTATTTGAAAAAGTGGGAAAAATAAATGTGAGCTGTAAATTTACATAAGTTTAAAAAGCATAAAACACAATTTAGAAAGCAAAATAATTCAATGATGCTGTATAGGGATATGTTTAGTTATATGTAAATCTGCACAGAAGTATTTAAAATGCATTCTAACTGCTAGTTGAGGAAAAAATAAATACAATGAATTTTACTATATAGAAAATGTATCATTAAAACATATATACCAAAACTAAAACTTAAAATGGTGTTTTGGAGGCAGACAGACTTTAGTTTGAATTCCTGCTCTGCCAGTTACAAGCTACATGACCTTAAGTAGAGAGTTAACTTTTTCATGAAGGCCGCTGAGATTATGAGATAACATGACCTCAGCACAGTCCCAGGAACGCAGAACTCAGTAAATGGAACTTTCTGCTATTTCCCCATACATTCTTTTGGAGAGGTTTTTTTTTTTTTTCCCCCCCGCTATAGCCTATATGGGCTATTTTTCCCCCACTATAGGGTACATGTGCTCGCCAGACAGACAGAGACAGACATAGACACAGAAAGCGAGAAATCACCCCCTGGGGGGATGGCCACACCACAATCCCTTCTCCTCCATTCTCCTCTCGGGATCCTGGGCACACACGCACACATGCCTGGCGTAAGTTTTAAGCCACCGGGTCCGGGACGCGAACCGTGGTCGACTACTTGGGAGTCTAGCGACATAGCCATTATGCTAAATGCTGGTTCCCCCCATACATTCTTCAAATACCTAAATTCTAAACAAGTTGAATTGTCTTCTCTAATTCCTTCCTCTTTCTTCCTTTCCCTTCCTCCTGTTTAATATTTGGTTATTTTTGGTTCTCAACTCCTTTAGGGCCAAAAATCTTTTTCTAAATATGATAAAAACTAAAACAAAACTAGACTCTGTACCCAGAAAATGTGTATTTATGCAAAGGCCCATCATTTATACACAATGTGAAAGTTTCTACCCTCTCAAGCCATTCAGATAAATATTGGGATAAGAGTCACTCCTCTAAGACAAGCAACAACTTTAGCTAATGCTGAGTCTTTGACATAACAAACTTCAATTGCATTTCAAAACAAAAACAAATCTGTTTTCCAAGAGAAAAGTAGTAAGAAACAGAAAAGATGGAAGGCAGGCCACACAAACCTGCTTCTACCTCACTCCTCTCATTTTCCATATCAGGACTGTATTGCCACAGCAGCTCCTACCCTTACAATTAAGGCAACGTGGAAGTCCTGGAAGCCATGCAGAAAAGAGTCAGCGAGATAGGCTTAAGACCGCTCTCCTTAAAAATGCCTGTTTGCCTTTGGCAGGCATCTGGGAACTTAGCTGGCAAACAATTCCGTACACTAATATAAATGGAAAGGTGTTAAAAGATTTGAAATGATTTAAAAAATAATTTCCCTAAGAGAAGGGAAAATAAATAAAATACATAAAATGTCAGAAATGAGTATGACCTTAGATTCAGTCCATTCAACTAGACTGATGGGCTGAATTCTGTATCAATTAAATTTAGAAAAGTAATAATGTTTGCCCACGGACACAGCCAGTTATGGCAGAGCATGGATAATGGATAAGAATACTGGGTTCTGACTCCAAATTCAATGCCTTTTTACTACAAAAATTTGATCAAGTCTTTGATTTAGAGAAGAGAAGGTTTATGTATAATAAATTGGCATATATAAGGTCTAAAAGGAATCCACATTATCACTAATCTATGGATATCAAATTAGAAAGAGAAAGTAAATCATAGTTACTATGTCAACATTCAAAATTATTTACATTAAATTAGGATAAGAAACATTAGCAGCTGAAGTATTTTGAAGTAAATTCATTATAATTATGGGATTTTACTTATATCCCCACATTGTACTTAAGCAATTTACTATAATTTTCTAATACTTAGTTTTTAATGGGAATCAAGAAAAATCCTACTACTCCTCTCTGGTAAAGTATTCCACAAGGATTTCTTTAAAAAAACAGAACCCATCGCAGCTGGAGCTTGTACAAAGTATCTGTTCTCACCCTGCTTGGACTAGCTACATTTTTCTCTGCCAGGTCTACTTTGGTCAAAACAAATATGGTTCTTCTTCCATGAGGATCCATTTGACTGACCAAGTCTGTAACAATACTGCGTTCAGCATCCACAGAGCCATCTGAAGAAATAGAAAAATGACACTATAATAATTGCAAGGTGGATTTTAAAAGTAGCACAACCTATATCCCTTTATATCTACATTACTGGCAAGAAAGATTTTCTCACTACCTCCGTTCCACTGTTAAACTGCTACTAGGACTTACTATCAGTTCTCTAGTGTAGGAAATCTCCTTTCTCAGTCTTCGTCTCGTCCCCACAGTCAGTCAGTATTCACTACATGAAGCGTTTGCAACCACATAGGGCCACATTTATAAATCTCTACTTTACTGTATACCCACAGTACTATTTAGAATAAATTAGAAAGATTATGCTGGACTTACATCACTGTGTTGCAGTGTGCCTCATTGCTTTCTGTATGGATAGAATTACATTAGTCTAGTGTGATGCCACATGGGATCTACCAAAACATACATACCCTATGGCACCACGACACACTGCAAGACATCTGCCTTTAAGCTCTTCGCTTATCGACCAAATCGTTTAACGACCCAGTTGTGGAAATGGAGCCTGGTTATTAAGTGAGGGATACCTGTGCATTTATTTATGAAAAGCAACTCTAGCCAGTAAAAATGTCAATGATGCTGCCAGTGAAATTTATTAAAACATCCCCAAGTTCACTTCTATTTACAAATAAAATAAACAAGTAAAAGGGCAAAAACACACATTGTATGTTTAAAGCACATAATTTAGAGCAAAGCTTGGATTCCTAAAGAAGAAAGCTTATCAGTGAAATTAAAATCTTTTGATGATTACCTTGAATACACAGTATGATGGCATTAGGATTCTGCATATAGGCCTTGCTGATACTGAAAATAGTTTCCTTCGTGTCGGGAGCCATGCCTGATGTCACAGTCTTGAAGAAAAAGATTTTAAAGGTCATACATGTGTTTTTCACAACAGAAACAGAAACAAACTACATGTTTCATATATACTTACATTAATCACACCTGGTAAGTCGACGAGCACCATCCTCTGAAGACCAGGGCCTTTTACATTTAAGGATATAGTCTAATCAGGAAGAGAAAAAAGACCACAATATTTTTGGAGAAGTTTAAGAATGCTTTGGGCAATATGTATGCTAAAAATGCTGTATCTTATCCATTTGGCTATAGTACTCAGAAACAAGTTATTGGGTTTCTGATTCTGAAAGCATTCTAGAAAATGACCTACAAGGTAACACTTTATTTGAAATACAAAAAACAAAATAAAACACAACTATGGAGGCCAGCAGATGGCATGGTGGATAAGGTGCTGGACTACCACACGGCCAGCTATAGTGTGAGTCCTGGATCTAGTGGCTTGCTTTATTTCTCACTTTCCCTTTCTCTTGGTCTCTCTCGCTCTCTGGTGAGCACATGTGCCCTCTAGCAAATTAAAAAAGAACAATAATAAATGAAATAAAAAAAGATCTTGAGACAGCTGTAACCTAAATATCAATACCAGTATCATGGGAGATCTAAACTTATAAACACTGCATTTACATAAACGTTGCTGAATGAACTGTGATCCGTACCTCAGGGCTAACGGTACAGCCTTCTTTCACGTTCTTCCTCATTCGGAGTTCTATTTCATGTCTTAACGCTGCAAGCTATGAACGGAGAACAATGAAAATATTTAGTTCAATTTAACGGTCTTTTATGAGTTTATACAGGTTAAAAACTCACACGTACGAACCTTTGATAAATTCTACTTACATCCTCCTCTTTGGTAAGGTCAAATTCCCGAGAGCTATCTTTGAACAAGGCCACGTGGTGAGGACCTTCACTCAGAGTCACCTGAAATGATAGAAAACGGCTCTGAGGATGCACTTACAGTGGCTATTAACCCCCACAGCCCTTACATGGCCCAGACAAACCTCCGTCCCTTCACACTACACTTGGAAGCGTCCCCTGGAGCAGTCAGTGGCGGCGCTGGGACCACTGTCAGCTTCGTATCTGTGCACTCACACATCCGTCACACATACTGTACTTTCCCAACAGGGCTGTGGCTACTTTCTGTTTCTGATCAAAAATGCTGCTGCCACTTTTTTCCCCTACATTATACAGACTCCTGAGCATGAAACCATCATTTAACATCTGTTTATCAAGCGTGAACTAAGTGCCTAGTGTCATAGGTAGGGAAGCACAAACCTGACTCGCCGTTTGGGTCTCACTCCACTCTGCCAGAAGCAGACACAGGCAGAACAGAACTGTGTGGCAAACCCCGGGTACCACAGAAGACAGTGGTACTTCCCAGTCACCACAGAGCCAACAGGCTCTACCAAGCAGGGACGTTTGAGTTAAGATATTTTATAACAGCATATATATATATATATATATATACACACATACATACATATGTGTGCTTGGGCATGCACACACACGCGCCCAGCGTGAGTTTAAGCCACCAGGTCTGGGACTCAAACCGCGGTCGACTATGTGGGAGTCCAGCGACATAGCCATTACGCCAACTGCTGGTCCCTATAACAGCATATTTTAATAGTCAGTAGTTTTCTAAGAACATTCCTTAGCTTTTCAATAGTACTTCCAAGCACCTCAGTGATTATACTAGTCTACTTTAAAAATACAGAGATTAGCTAAGCAGGCTGGACAATAAGAGTTGTTTGAAAGTGACCATGGCAGCCTGGACTAGAGTCCAGGGTCCCAAAGGATTTGGGGGGCTTACTGCAGCTATTTTTCATCAGAGCACTGGCTGATGTGTGCGACAGGTCAGAGTTCAAAGAGATAAGCAAAAAGTCTCACAGCAGTTTCATTGCGTGTTGAACTGGAATTCACAGCTATCAAGGAACCAGGACTCAAGGTGTGAAGATTCCAGAGAGAAATGTACTATAGAAGTGAACCTCCAAAAAGTTCTCCACCCTGTGCACCATTTCCCTTCAAGGCATTTATTTGCACATTAAGAAACCAAGAAGAAAAGCTGCTCTTGAGGCTAAAATGCTCACGCAGGATTTTGGCGATTTCACTGTTCTGGGGAGACAAAAATCTGAACTTCAGGGTTAGGCAAGGAGGAGGAGCCCTGGTAAACACTGGATGACTAAATGCAAGCTGGGAAGAGACCAGCCTCAGCTGTTTCAAGGAAACCTGCCTGCACTCCACCTGCCAGCCAGAACCAAGTTATTAATTCCTTCCTCCAGCACCATCCACAGCTTCTGCAATTAGGGTGCTAGTAACAGCGTCAAGTCAGGTTTGCAGTGTTTCCACGAGTAAATGCTGAGCATGATATAAGGTGTAGTCTGGAGGACATTTCTTTTTCCTAAGTTGGAAGCATTTCTTTCTTTTATTTTTGGAGAGATTTTTGCTATAGGGTATGTGAGCTTGCCAGAGACAGACAGAAAGTGAGAAATCACCCCCCAGGGGGGATGGCCACGCCGCAATCCCTTCTCCTCTCAGGATCTTGGGCACGCACTCACACATGCCTGGTGTGAGTTTAAGCCACCGGGTCCGAGACTCAAACCGCGGTCGACTACATGGGAGTTTAGCAACATAGCCATTATGCCAACTGCTGGTTCCAAGTTGGAAGTATGTCCACAAGTTTGCAACAATAGTAAAATGGATATATAGTGTGGTATGTTCAGGAAGGAACTAGTACCATGAAACGAAGCTCAGTTCAGAGCTGGACCCAACAATGTGCCCTTGGCAGTCTCACTGTCTCAATTTCTACTGCTAATCTGGCCACCATTCTCGGTGGTTTCCATTTTTCACTCTCCAATTACTCTTCCCCTACCTCTATCATTTGATTGAAAGAACCAACAAAAACTTTAAACATTCAGATTCACTTTAAATTTATGTTCACAGATCTTATAATAGAGATTTCAGTCCAATGCAGCAATAATATTAATACCTGACTTCCTTCATCACTTCTTTCCTAGAGTCACCAAAATCTCTCAGAAAAGACTAGTTTTTCTTGCTGCCTCAAGCATCTGCTGGGACTAGCAGATGGTGTAATAGTTAAGTTGCTGGATTCCTATGTAGTCAACTGTGGTTTGAGTCCTGGACCTGGAGGCTTAAAACTCACACTGGGCACATGTACATACATGCCCAAGATCCCCCCCAAAAAATGGAGGAGAAGGGACTGCAGTGTGGCCATTCTCCCAGGGGGTGATTTCTTGCTCTCTGTCTCTTTCTGTCTGGTGAGCGCACATGCCCTATAGCAAAAATCTTTAAAAACAAAAATAAATAAATAAAAAACCAGCTGATGGTATGGCTTATCTCACTGAGGAAGCAGAAGGAACCAGATGTTCCACATATTTGCCTCCACTGGTACATTCAACGATCGACTGTCATGCTTCAGCTTCGTCGATCTGCCAGATGTATTTGAGGCCTACGATCACTCCCCACCACCCCAGTACTCTCCTCACCCGACTTCCAGCACTCTTCTGGTCCCTCCTAGCACAGCAGTGCACCTTCACACGCTCCTCCGTAATTCTTCCTGCGGGCGCTGACTGTTGAGAGTGCTCAGGGCGCCACTCAGTCCTGCGTCTTCACGACCTCCACCCCTCCCATAATAGCTGATCCACCAAGACCATGGCTGTAAATATCTGATGACTCCTAAATCCGTATCTCTTACCCACACCTCTCTCCAAACTTACACATCCAAAACCTTACTTGTTATCCCCTCAGCAAGCAAAAAATTCCTGATCTTCCCAACCCTGACCCTCTCACAGACTTCCCTGTACAAATTACATCCTTTGAATTGTTCAGGTCAAAAACTCCTCTGGAGCCACCTTGATGAATGACATATCAAATCTGCCAAGAAATCCTCTGGGCCCTACTTTCAAAACAGATTCATAATCCAACCATTTCTTTTCACCTTTACTACTATTAAAACTTCCCCTGTCCAAGTTATCACCTGGATCTTCCAACAGCCTCCCAGATTCTACCTAGCTTACCTACATCTATTTACAACACAGCAGCCAAGCCTTTCAAAAGATAATGCTGTTAGGGCCAGCGGGTGGCACAGTGGTTAAAGCACTGGACTCCCACATGGCCAACTGTGGTTCAATTCTCAGACCCAGTGGCATGATAATCATCACATGGCCAACCGTGGTTCAATTCCCAGACCCAGTGGCATGATAATCACACCAGGCGGGTGTGTGTGCTTGCCCAAAATCCTGAGAGGAGAATGGAGGAGAAGGGACTATGGCATGGCCACATTTCCTAGGAGGTGATTTCTCACTGTCCCCCTCTCTCTGGCAAGAGCACATGCCCTATGACAGACTCCTCTCCCACCCCCCAAAAAAAAACCCCAAAACAAACAAACACAAACTAAAAATACCTTCCCTGGACCCAACATATTTCAACTGCTACTGCCCTATTTTTCTACCTGTTATTTTTAAAAAATAAAATTAAAAAATTATCTATATTTACCAGTGCTAATTCCAATGTTCTCATTCTCGTATTCAGCCTCTCTTCTGACTTAATCAGAATAAACCCAAAGGTCTCACTCACGGTGCTCAGGGCAGCCTCGCCTGCCACTGCGCCCCGACTCCTCCCGCCCCTCGCTGCAGGCACATGCTCACTCAGCTCGCGGTGGGCCTACTACTCTGCAGGAGTGAGCGTCCCAGAGGCTACAGCAACTCTTCCCTCAGTGAAAGGCCTTCATTTCAACACAACGCGCAGGCTTCACTAGAGTGTTACCTTCCTGAGGAACCGTACCCAGACAGCCCACCTTCTTACCTTAACTGGAGAACGTGTCATCATCTCCCCGGATCCTCTGGGGAATATCCGTGCCTGCGCAATCATTTCCAGCACGCTCGTTTTTCCAGCGCTCTGATCTCCAACCACGACCACCTTACCACAAAACAATAACACTCATTCATATATATATTTTTTTTTTTGGAGAGATTTTCACTGTAGGGCGCGTGCGCTCGCCAGACAGACAGAGAGAGACAGAGAGACAGAAAGCGAGAAATCACCCCCCAGGGGAGATGGTCATGCCGCAATCCCTTCTCCTCCATTCTCCTCTTGGGATCTTGGGCACGCACGCACACGCGCCCGGCGTGAGTTTTAAGCCACCGGGTCCGGGACACGAACCGCGGTCGACTACGTGGGAGTCCAGCGACATAGACATTACGCTAACTGCTGGTTCCCACTCATTCATATTTTTGGAACCAAATTAAATTGAAATCGATTTAGAATACCTGAATATTTAAAAAAGATCTTCAATTAAAGAAAATTTTAAAAAATCTCTAAAAAATGATGGTTGATAAAATGTATACGCACTGAAAATATAAACAGCAAAACATTAATTGGGTTAATTATTGCTTTTTTTATTACTCAAATTTTTATGAAAGAGACATACTCATTTAAATCACTACTTCTAAAACCAGATTACTATAACAACTTTCCACAAATCTTTTCCAAAGTTTGTTTACTCTCAACAAACACATTTTGAATTTTACTAGGTTAAATTTTTTTTTTCTTTTTTTTGGAGATGTTTTTGCTATAGGGCGCGTGTGCTCGCCAGACAGACACAGAGAGACAGAGACAGAAAGCGAGAAATCACCCCCCAGAGGGGATGGCCACGCCGCAATCCCTTCTCCTCCACTCTCCTCTCAGGATCTTGGGCACGCACGCACACGCGCCCAGCGTGAGTTTCAGCCATCAGGTCCGGGACTCGAACCGCAGTCGACTACGGGGGAGTCTAGTGACATAGCCATTCGCTAACTGCTGGTCCCAACTAGGTTAAATTTTAACATATGCCTAATTAATCCACCATTTAGGTACTTGAACTTACAAATATCATGGATACAAAATATCTGGTAGTCTTCCTTCATAACACCTAAATATAAGTAACACAAAAATATAAGGTGCTTCTATTTACTTATTGGTTGTCAGAAAAGTCATATCATAGTTTTCTGTTTTTCTATGCAAAAATTGATCATGACTTTTCCAACAACTCAGTATCTTTATAATGGACCAAAATAAACAAACAATACTCAGTGTTTAAGAAATCATCTGGAATACATAAGTAAGATTATATAGGTAAAAACATATGCAATGAGCAAGTTCACTGTCTATTAATTTTTCACTTACCCGTGGCAGATGATCTTGTGTATTATAACTGGCATCGTAATCAGAAAGAACATCAAGAACTTCAGAGTACATGTCAATCAAAGATTTCTGTAAATTGTCAAAAAATTAATATATTATAATAATGAAAACATTAAAGAAAAAGAATACCGCAAATGTGTCAAGAGAAAAAAAAAGCTGATAAATTATTTTTCCATAATTATTTTTTCTCTAATTATAAAACTGTATCTTCACAGGGACCAGCAGATGGTGTAACGGTTATGCTGATGGACTCCCACATGGTCGACAGCAATTCGAGTCCTGGACCCAGCAGCTTTGGACTCACACTGGGTGCATCTGTGCATGCGCCCAAAATCCCAGGAGGAGACTACAGGAGAAGGAACTGTGGTGTGGCCATCCCCTCTGGGAGATGATGTCTCACTTTATGTCTCTCTGTCTCGGTGGTGAGCACACATGCCCTATATTAAAAATCTCTCTTAAAAAAAAAATTATATCTTTGTAGTAAAAAGTAAAGCAGTACAGAAAAAAAATTCGATCTCATCAGTTTATCTTGAGAAACAATAATTTAATGAAGTTCATTAATTCGGGATTTCCTAACGACCTAATTAAACAATAAAAGAAGTTATTTAATACAGATGAGCTAATAGTAAATGCTCAACAGAGGCCATTTCTACCTAAAAGGCCAAAAAGGCGTCCGGTGACCAATCGCAAGGAAGTGACTCTCTGCCAAGTCTGGGGTGTGTGTGTGACAGAGAGTGTGGGGAGGAGTGAGAATGGCATGCACAAGACAGCGCCCCAGGAAGGACTAACAGACACACGATCACGACGGAGGCCGGCCAGCGAGCACGTGCGGTGACGTCCCTCGAGGACAGGCTGAAATGAGCGCGGCAAGGGAAGACGCCTGTGCAGCTTCTTTCTGTCGAACCAGCACCAAACACGGTGCCTTGCACACAACAGGCTTCAAGGAAATATCCAACGAATGAATGAATAAATATATTAAAAAGGATACCATCGAGCATTAATAATTAAAGATATGTTTTAATACCAAGAAAGAAACAGAACAAGGGCTTAAGGTTCCTGTCATGTCTTTAATACCTAGCTAGAATTAAATCACAAGTGACTGCCATCCCAGGCACCGAAAAATAAAAAAAAGTCCAGTTCCATTGCATTTTATGAAAGAAAGTACCATCTCCGAGGTAGACCCTGACGTGCACCAACACTCAGACATGGCTTTTCTCGACTGCCACTCATCTGTCAGTCACAGCTTCCACCGCATGTTGCGGAATTGGACCTTGGTTACGGAATGTATGTGCCCTGACTTACTAGTTTTGCTACACACTAATTGACTCCTGTGAGATTTTAGTTAAAAAAACCATCTGTATTTAATTTAGCACATATGATCTGGCTTGGTGGAGAATAAGATTTAATTTACTGACATTGGTAATTACCAATATGCTGATGAAAACACCACCAGCAAGAGCTTTCCCAAATATTCTATAAAATATCTAAGAAACTTTCCTTTAGAAAGAAACAGTTAAATTTTTTTTTAAGCTCAAGAAAGTTGCCTAATCTTATTCATTGGAAATACACATAAGGCAATGATGTGAATTCATATTTCAATGTCTATCAACTAACAAGTCTGATTTTTTTTTTTTTTTTTTTTTTTGGGGGGGCGCGCCGCTCGCAAAAAGAAGGGGCACTTGCCAGAAAGAGAGAGACAGAGAGACAAAAAACGAGAAATCACATCCCCCCCCGGGGGATGGATGGCCACGCTGCAGTCCTTTCTCCTCCATTCTCCTCTTGGGATCTTGGGCACGCACACACATGTACCCAGCATGAGTTTAAGCCACCAGGTCTGGGACTTGAACTGCGATCGACTACATGGGAGTCCAGTAACATAGCCATTACGCCAACTGCTGGTCCCTTAATAAGTCTACATTTTACAGATGTAGAGATTAAGCCTAGAAATAAACTAGGTATTTCAAGACAATAAAGTCAGTCATGATAAATGACTCTTAGAGGTATAAAGATTTTATGAACATAACAAAAAACTACAGACTACAATTTGTGAAATTTGATCATATAGGGAGATACTCTCCAAACCCCAAGAATAGGTTAGAAAGAAAATGTTGACAAACACCTTACCTTAAAGACTGGCAGGGATAACTACATCCCGTTAAAGGGCAAAGCTCTGAGGGCTAGCTAACTGAGGTACACTTTCCATACCTTCAGCTTTCTGTGATGGATGCCTTTGTCATCTTTCTGCAATACTAGTTTCCTCAATTCTTTGTTCTCCTTTTCTAGTCGTTCCAAGATTCTCTGATACTTTAACTGCAACAAAAGAATACACATAAATATATAAAAGATGAGTTAATATATAATGTTAAGTCTAAAATAAAAATCTTCAAAAATCCTGAAGCCATATTTCCCATTTAAAATAAAGTATTAGGGAACAGCAGTTAGTGTAATGGCTATGTTGCTGGACTCCCATGTAGCGGACCGTGGTTCAAATCCCAGACCTGTGGCTTAAACTCACGCCAGGTGCGTGTGTGTACATGACTAAGATCCCGAGAGGAAAATGGAGGAGAAGGGATTGCGGCGTGGTCAACCCCTCCGGGGTGTGTGTGGGGGTGTGTGTGTTTGTGTGTGTGTGTGTGATTTCTCGCTTTCTGTCTCTCTCTGTCTTTCTGGTGTGCTCACGCACCCTATAGCAAAAAATAAAAGTATTATTCAAAAGTTTCTGAAAAAACACTGAAAAAAAAAACTATAAACATTGTCTCACATAAACAATGAAATTCACTTTAATTTTCTATCATAATTTAGAATTTTATTTCAGAAATTCTTTGCTACTTATGTTGAAGAAATTATTTTAAAATACTAAAAATTTAACAACTTAAGGAGGCAAGTTTTTAAGTACCTTCTAGAAGTAATTATTTCTCATTCTATCAACATTTCAAATCTTCTTTACAGAGCCATTTAAAAAATTCAAATTAATTCCATTCCCATTACTTCCCATTTTAATGAAAATGTATTAGACAACAGCTAGCATTACCTAAGCATGGGATATGTGATGTGTCCTTTCCTACATGTCTCCCATGCAGTAACTCCTTTAACCTTCACAGAGACCCTATGAGAGACCTATGAGGCTGGGGTTACACAGATTAGGAACTGAGGTTGGGGACATACGGTAGCTGCCCAAGGTCACCCAGCTTGCAGGGGGTGGGGGAACAGGGTTTTGAATATAGGCCCAAGTTAGAGGCTCAAATTCTTCCAGTTTTGTTAAGTGTCCATGTTCAAAATAACACATTAATATTTAAAATAATGCTATAAAGGCATTTTAAAAGCTAATACACGTAGACAGGTTCTTTTGCCAAAGTAGTTGCCTGGCTACACATTTTTTTTTAAATAAATTTTATCTTTTGTCATTAGTCTTTCTAATTTTAATTTTTCTCTAAATATTAACAATGTACAGAAAACTATTAAGAATTACTCCTTGTGCAATTCAGCAGAAAGTTTATGTCAACTTAAAATACAGTGCCATTTATAATAGAAAATATTCCTTAGAACAGGGTATGAAGAGATTTTAGAAAGTCCAAGAGAAAAATGGAATTAAAGTATGAGTTTATTCTGAAGTAAGAAACATTGAAATGCATGGTTATTCCTTAACATGCATTTCTATGAAATTTCTGAAGATCTTCCCTTCACCCAATAAATACAAGAGTATCATGATTCTATCTTCAAAGAATGTCCAACATAAGCCAAATTAAAGAAAAACATATGCAGATGAACTATACAGTAAGAGACAGGCAGAACTACAAGAACTACTTTTAGGGACTCTCCCTAAAAGTTCTAGAACAAAAATTCGCAAACCTTTGGATGCATCTGAATTTCTCTCGGGTCTTTTAAACACAAAGATTGCTGGTTCCATGCCCAGTATTCCTGATTTAGCAGGTGAGCAAAGGGACTAAGAAACTGCATTTCTAATCATCTCCCAAATGATACAGCTGCTACGGCTTCAGATCGCGTAAGTTGAGAACAATGATTCTTAATTACTGGAATCAACTGGCTGAGAAGCTTTGGAATAGATACAGGTGTTGGTGGTAGACAGTGGTGCAGTGGTAGAACACAAAGCCTACAAGGCTGACCCACGGAGAAGGTTCCAGGTTCACATCAGAAGACCTCCCTGAGCACACAGGGCATGGATGTGTCCAGGATCCTGGACTGGCTAAAGGTGGGGGTAGACTGAGGCCTCAACACTCCATTGAAGGTACTGTTTCTCTTTCTCTCTCATTCATGGAAGAAATAAATTTAAACAATTAAATATGGAGGACTTTCATGGAAAAACGGAATTGAAATACAAGTATATTTTGGTGCAAAAAATATTTGAAATCCATTCCTAGTTTTTTCATGACAGGCATTTTCTATGAAATTTGAGGATCCCTAATACATAGTACTACCCAGAGGTCTAGTGTACAGTCAGGTCTGACAGTCAATGAATAGGTATCAAGAAAATCTGTCCCTCAAAATATGCTAGTTGCTGGACCAGCAGATGGCACAGCAGTTACATGGCTGACTGTGGCTTGAGTTCTGGACCTGGTGGCTTGAAAATCATACTGGGCAAATGCCTGTGTGTGCCCAAGGTCCAGAGAGGAGAATAGAGAAGGGACTGGGGGACCACCATCCCCCTCTGGGGGAGATTTCTCAGTTTTTCTCACTGTCTCTCTCTTTTCAAGCAGAAACCTTTAAAAACAATAAATAAATAACTAGTTGTTTAATTTTATCAAGATTGATCCTTGTTTTATTTTTTGCCCCCTAGGAAGCCCAAGACAAGTCCTTTTTTTAAGGTTCCTTTTTTTTCCCTTCTATTACAGAGAGGCAGGCACTCCCAGCAGGGTCTTCATGCTGTGACCTGGGCACTAGCCCACCCCTGAGTTCCAAACAGCCCCAGGTCATGGGCACTTATGCACCCAGTGTGTTCAACGAGGTCTCTGGACACAAACCCAGAACCTTCCCACAGGGGTCAGCCTTGCAGAACATCCCATTATCACTGTGACGCCACCTGGCCCCAATGACGAGTCCTGTAGCTTTTAAATATCGCTTTTCTATTTTTATGCATTGAACACAACAGGGCTTTAAAATGACTTATCATCAAATATGAGAAGAGAAAAGCTTTCCAAAGTAATGCCAGAAATGTCTTTAGAAAAGTGTTATCTGATTGGTTATAGCTTACAGAGAACTGACGGTAAGGGTTCCCAGGGCTCGCTAGAACCATGTGGTGGACAACTCAAGTTTAACTGCTACATAAATCAGCCTATCAATGTAAAAATGTAAGTCCATACAAGGTAAATCACTCTCCCCCTTTTTTATAGAAGTTTTTCCTTAAAATTAGAAGCACAAAATTCCCTTAAAATAGGTTATCACACAAAAATAAGCTAACTTCGTACTAATCTCATTCCTTCTTTATTCATTTCTCAATTACCTTTTATATCTATTGACAAGGCTCTATCAATAAATCATTCCATATTTTGATTTGTTTAAAAAATTAATTTCCACGTCACAAAACTTACATTAGAATTAGAATAAGTTTTTCTTACTCATCAGAATTACCTGAGTATGCAGAAGTTCTTCTTGCAGTTGGTCAATTTTTTCTTTGTCTGATACCTAAATATTTAAAATAAATTAATTTTAGTTGAGTGGTTTATATGTTTATTTATACAATAAGTTTTTTTTCTTTAAAAAAAAAAGCAGTAAAACCTACTGGCTTCATATGCATACTTAAAGCAAATTTAAATCAAAAGTTTATTTAAGAAAGTAAAAATACCTGAATTTGTCATTAAACATAGCTCGGCAAAATTTCATATTAAGAACCACTTATTTTCCTGTTGCCATTCTAGCCATTCTTTGAAAGGCCTGTCAGAAAATAAGGCATCAACATACACGGCTGCTATGCTCTTCGGAGGTTCTCTGTACTAAAAGCACAGGGGACTGACTATCCCACTGGGAATACATGTTGGGAAATCAGATACCTGTTACTATTTACAGCTAATGAAAAGCTCACTGGTCATAGTTTATCTTTTAGGAAAATATGTTTCACCTCTGTACTGTAAGTCGGGAACTGTCTGATAAACGCAAAGAGTAACTTGCATTTTCAGAGCTTTATGTGGTACCGCATGCCAGCTTTTAAACTGTGTCCCAGTGCAACATCTGCTAACCTGTAATACAGAGACTGCATCTGTAGCAATAAAGCCAAGTAAAGCAACTACAACTGATTTGAACATAAGACAAAAATGAAATGAATGAAAGCAATAGGTATTGTGTAAGCTACTTCAAATCGCTCTCAATGCTAATAGTTCTATAATAAAATATTCCAAGTAACAAAGCACTCTGTAACAGGTTTTAAAGTAGTCACAATACAATTCTAAATACAAAATACAATGATTAGTCATAATAAAAATGATGTTGTGTATGACAAATCCACATAACTGTGCTTTGTCTTCTTGGTGAGGTGCAGAAGTTGTCATCCTCAGCCTTTAAAAATAATTGTCTAGTTTCTGAAAATCAAAATGAATTTATTTCATAGGAGGAAAAAAACAAGTTAAATTTATATTCCTTTTCATTTCAATCCTATTCATCTTTGTTTACTGGCTATTTAAGCAATCAAGACATCATGACAGCAAATATTTATGAGAAAATCTTCAATGATCTGCTTAATAGACATTAATAAAATCTTGTCCATGCTACAAAGAATTATATTCAGATTTTAATCACTATTTTTAAACACATAATCAAAATTTCCCCCAAATTTTCATTTGAATACTCCAATGCTTGCCAGAAACAACTAAGTATACTTTTCCTCATAACACCCTATGCCTGATGATCCCTCTAAATTATCTGGTAATTTAGAACAAGATAATACAAAATTCAACTGTTCTCCCACTCCTATAAAGCAAGCAGACTGGCTGAGAGAAGTCTTTCATTTTGGCTCTATGTGTTTGTGCAGAATGGACAAGAATTATTAATAGTCTCCTAAGCTGTGAGGAGACAAGCAAACTGGAGTGGAGCCCACTTCCCAAAGAACAAAACTCTAAAGGCAAATGAAGAAATAAATAATTCCATATTATGATCACATGGCATGCCATCATATTCTAATAATGTGGTCATAAAAATTTTGTCATGCAGATTAAATGTCCAATTCATTTGAAAAGGTATTCTGATCTACTTGGCTCCATTAAATATTTACCCTACCAGAGCTAAATTAGTAAATATTGTATGAACAGTATTAGTTTGAACTGTTTTAATTTTATATATGAATATTTACTGATTTCATGCAATATATCCTAAATGACTAGAGAAAATCCAACAGTACTTACATCTAGGGCAATAATTAAGAAGGTAATAAAATTAAATGAAAAAGATCGATTTTCACTATAAGCCAAGGGCTACAAGTTTAAATTTGGTAAAAATAAAAGGGCTACATAAATAGTTAAATTGATATAATGTTTCAGAATATTACACAAATGATCTTTATTTAGTATTTAGTAATCACAATAATTTAGACTCTTACAAAATCAGATTTTTAGGAGTATCAATTTATCATTTGCCTTTCTGGTACAATTGTTAAGGGTGACTCATGCATAATTTACGGACATACTTCCTATCTACTTAGTTGAATAAAACATTAAAATTGATCTAATGCCATATTAAAGGAAAGGTGATGATGGAGTCAGGGATTAGACCTAACAGGTTCTAGGAAACTAAATGAAATCTTGAGGTTTATAAAATAAGTATTAAAGGTGGGTGAGAGGGTACTTTGACCTTTTTCGTAGAGACTAGCATGAGGTATTTTCAATCTATCACTTATTCTAGGTCTTACCTAGCAAGCTGGGTGTATTTTATTCTGATGTGCTATGGATTAAATTACACCACTTACAACAAGAATTAAGTTTGTGGCCTGTCAATATATTCGGCTTACATTATAAAATTAACTTCAAACTCACCCTGACAGAAACAGATATCAATAGTCTTGAAACCAGAGCTTTTCTACAATTCCAGGGCTGTGAAACTGATAGAGAAAGAGCGGAATCCTCCGCAGAAACAAGCTAAAGCTGAAAGAGAGAAACCTTTACTAGCTCCTCACAAAACACAGACTGACTTTAGAGCGTGAAGTGCTTCTTCCTAGTAAGCCAAGGGGCTGCTCTGAAATTCCGAAATCATGCACAGCAGAGTCACTGTAAAAACGTCTATGTACACATCAGGGGAAGCAAACTACCAATGGCAGTTTCAATCTGTCCTCTCTGCTTGGGCGCTTTTGCCCCAAAGACAAAAGAAAACTATACTTGCTACTAATAAGATATTTAAAAATGAAAACCATCTTTTATTTTCAAGAACGTAGGGGAGAAGGAATGATTTAAAAGCAACAAAAAGTAACTGTGGTTTTGTGCCTCAAATAAACCTCAAATGCCTAAAATGATAAAAATCTCATGAATTAAGATTTTGGTCATTCAAACAGTGAAAAGTCACCTCTGAACTAACTATAAGAAAAGAGAAGGAGAGGATAAAGGGAAATAATCTCATAGAAGAACAAAAATTGTTTTTAAAATCCCACTTACTTCACACAGTGTACCTACAAAGTGGCCAGGGACAAGCCCTGTCTGATGCTCCACCAAGGAAATGTACCTTAACAATGGGTGGAGAGACAGCCCTGTTAGGCACTAGTTACCAAACGGGAAAAGGGAGGAATGAAAGCATTAAATGGATAATCCAATAAACATTAGAAATACGATTGATATCTTTATCTCCAAAAGACTAGCGATGGAGGCCTAAACCTACATTAATCTTCGGCAACGTGGAAAATGAAGTAGTATTCATTACTGATATCCCCTGAATGTGTCAGATCCAAAAGTACACCAATAACCTAAACCGTAATCTTAGGATCTTAAAATGGCAGGACTATGGGACTCATTTCAAACAGTTTTATGGTTATAAAAAGAAAAAAAGAGCAACTTGTGACTACAGCTATATTCACATGTCTAAGAAGTATATCAAAATGTTAGCTCCTCCCTCTTCTTTCTGTAATAAGACTAAGGTATGGATGGCTTGGACTAAGTATCCGATTTGTCAGACTATTTAAATGGCACACTCACAGTATATAGAATGTTAAAGGAACGTTTAAAATAAGTCTTTTTTTGGCTCAGCACATCTATTTTAAGCACACAAAATTAATATTTTCTACCTATTGTTTTCATTCACTGAAAGCTGAACAATATACAAATTCCACAGCCATGGAATTGAGAAAAGTCAGGAAGTAACACTGAAAAAAAAAAGTGGAACCATAATGAGTACTCTCAACTATGAACCACCACCAGATGAGGTAAGGTTAGCCAGCACTGCCCATTATCTATAATATTAGTTGATTTAAGTATTAGAACCTATAGGAAACTTAATTATACAACCAAGTCTTTTTTCCTGAAGAAAGTTTATAATAACTTTAAAACTTTTCTGATCTCAGAGATGTAACATAATTGGCTGATTTCAAGATCTCAGAGTACAACTTCAAAATCATTAAATTTATTATACTTTGATCTTAAGTATTTTAAGAACATGAACCTTGTGGTCTACACTGCAGGATTATTTAACAGCCAAAATCATACTTTTAAGAATCTCTTGATTGCACCAATAACCAAATATTTGTATAGGCTTCTGCTTTTATTAGAATCTGTTCTTTAGGGACCAGAATTATATCAAATTTTCAATGTTCAACTCACACTCATCTTATTAATGTAAAAAATTCACAGTATCAGTGTTTAAGAACTATTTATCTTTGCCCCAAAGTTGTCAAAATAGCTTTCTTTTATAAGAATATGAATGCCTTTCCCTGTTGATATGTTCTAGCTAAAATAAAACCTTCACTCTTTAATTTAAATTGGTCATCTATAGCAATCATTTTCATTTGAGAAAAGAAAACCTGGAGTAGTCAAGAGTAAGGAGGCAGATTAGCAAGGGTAACCCAATTACTGGACCACTTAATAGCAATTCATAATTTGATTCTAAATACAAAACCATGGACCTCATAGATAATCTCATTTTTGGGATCTAAATATCTATGATTGAGCTAAACATCTTAGGTTTTGTCCACCCAGGAAAGTTGTATATTTAAGGATGTATCTTCTATGTTTATTTTGTCAAAAATAACCTCTCAAAATTGGAGTCTATGAATGGCCTGAGGCAAATGATCTTGGCAGAAATGGCTGACTAGTGTGAGCACATCAGAGCCCCCTCCACCATCCATCACCTTGCGCTTCTGTTGGGCATAGGTCGTGCTATACTGGCCAGCAGCTCTGCGTGCTTCCTCTTCATGCTCTTGAATTTGCTGTTGTAAGAGAATGAGCTCACCAAGCAGACCCTGCCATGAGTTTATAATGAGGAGAAGAGGAAAATTGGGGAGGAGAACAATGTTAAACCAAAGGGCACAAAAAAAGGAACAGATGTAAGATAGGGAGGGAGGAATGGATAGCTTAGACAAAAATGGAAACTCAGGCACTTGCAGAGCCATCAGACAATGGGGCTCTGTACTGCATTTCCATTTTCCCCCTCAGTAAAATTAGATGTCTCAGAAAAATAAAACAGCACAGTTTAAAAAGTGAAAAGGCAAATGCAACAACAAGTGTTGAACAGCACAGCCAGACATAGAGTATAAATACACAGTAAAACCTAGACTAGCTGGAATGCTCAGAAAGGTGGCGCTGCAGCTCATTAAGTTTACCAAACAGGAAAATCAAGAAAATAAATTCTGCAATCCTTATTTTTGAATTGCTAATATGTACTAGTATATGCTTTTGATGTAAAACATATGGGGAAAAAACAAAAACTCATTTTTTTTAGCAGTGTTGATCTTACAAGTCTAAATCTTCTAATTCTCAACCGTAACACTTATGACTGACTTATTAAATTATTATTAAGAAAGGATTTTTCCTTGATAGCCGATTGCTTTAATTAAAGGCTACAGTCTCTCAAAATTTGAGTTTTCTAGCATTAAATTAATCAAGGTTTTACATGAATTCATATATTCTATGTGCCTTTACAAATAAATGTGACTAAAGTTTAGAGTTCTTTCTTATAAATTAAAAAATAATGCTTTAGGTTCTATTTTTTTTGACTTTTTATAACATCAAATAACTAGTTTGGCTGAATTTCACTTTTTATGAGCTGTTTGTACATTAAATAGAAATAGCCTCTGAGAATATAGACAAGCATGTATCAATTACTAAAGAACTAAAAGAATATAATGAAGACACAGCAATAATACAGTTATGAAAAATTAAAACTAAAAAAACAATCTGGACCTATGCACAAAATAATTACCTTTTCTATTTCTAAAATTCATTCCACTTAGTAATCATAAAATATCAAATCAGCACAATTATTATAACATATTCACATGAAATATGATACCAAAATACAAGTAATTTTCTGTAAAGCATTCATCACTGGCCTATCAGATAATCTCAAGAAATGTGGAGGAAAAGAAACAAGGAATTGACAATGTTCTAAACCTAATATGTTCTCAACTAGAAATCCTAAAAAGTTTCAATGAATGAGGAATCTCTTTAATTTGCATCAGAACAGTGTTCTAGGAGAACAATGGGCTCAGTTTTTAACCAAATAATAAAAGTAGTTAGGAAAACCCACTTATCAAATACTGAATAATAATCTAAATTTGAAGTGTAAATAGCTTCAGAGCTTTCTTAAATGACTACCAAAAATATTTTATCTAAGTAGAAAATCTTTTAAAACAAAATACTAGTTAACATTACATTCAAAATTTAATTAGGAGACTCATCCAGAGGTTGATTACTTAATTCACCAATTATAATTTTAAGGCTTACATAAACTTAAAAGTTTTCCAGAACAGCAGCAAATACCAACAGAAAAGTTAATATTTATAATAAAAGATTTTAAATTAAGGAAATACTAACATATAATTTGGGAGATTTTTATTTTGTTAGGTTCTTAGTGTTAATACTTTAGGCTATGATCATTGCTAATATTACACAATGATAAAACTAGTTGACAAAGGATGAAACTTGATTTTTTTCCCACATGACAAGTGAAAGTTCAACTTTTTTTTTTAAAATATTGTGGTACAAAATATATTTATAAAAACATGAAATTATGCTTAAAGGCATATCTTTTAAATAAATTCGTTTTATGATTACTGACACATCAAAGAAAAACAATACTAACTCACTATCCTCATCCGTAAGTTTTCGCCATTTTTAAAAATATCTTTTTTGCTTTTCATCAAGTAGAAAGCAAAGTCATCTAACTTATTCATTAGATCACTTATTTGATCACTTCAACTCATCGAAGTGTTTAGATATCTCAAACAATTCTCTTTAAAGGTTTCCTCTGTAAGCTTACACAGTAGTGTACCTGCTGTATTTGCATAACAAAGTATCCTCATTTATAAATGCCAAAGCAGAGAGAAAAACATTTTCCACATTTGCAAGCTCTCCTGGTCTGCCAGGAGGCCACTCTTACTTGTTTACAGTGGCACACCCTCCCTAATCATCCGCTGCTTACTTCTCTCTGCAGCTGTATGAACTCTACGTCTACAAGAAAACCCTTTCTAGAGACACCTCACTTTCCTTCCAAGTCTGTAACTGAGGCACTGTTATGTGATGACAGTTGAAATTAACTGTTACCTCCTGAAAAAAGCAGGAAGAAAACAAGAATTAGACATAGAAAATGCTATTTGCACTATATTGCGCATCTTAAGGAGGTTATCCTTAATGCCCACATTTTAAGCATTAAATATACGGGGTCTAAGTTAAGGCTATGTGGAACAGGAAGAGAAAGCAATGTATCTACTGTGCAAGATACACTCTTTGAATCTACGAAATACATTCTCAGTTAATACTATAGTAAGGCTGGACATATTCTCAAGAAATAGCATACAATTGTTTTTAAGTATATATACATAAAATATGGCAATTGTTCCAAATAACACTGTCATTGTCAACAACTTGAGACGATAGAACCGCTAAACATCTCCTGTGTACTGTCCGTTTGACATTGCAGACTCAGTCTCACATTTCAGGTACGACATTCTCAGTCAAAAAAAAAAATTATACCACCCTAAGAAAATCAGTAAGAACTCTAGAAAACAAAATGTAAAATGAAAATTCTGTGCTAATCTAAAATGTAATGAGTTTGGTGGGAAAAATTTTAAATAATCTTGTATGATCTGAATGTTTGTTCAGCCAACCCCCAATCTGTATTGAAATCTAACCCTCAATATGAAAATACTGAGACCTGGGACCTCTGGGGAGGTGATTAGATCATGAGGGCTTTAGATGTACTACTTTATATAAAAAGACCCAGGGCCAGCAGATGCTGTGGTGGTGGGGGCATTAAGACTTCCACATGGGCAAACATAGTTTGAGTCCTGGACCCAGTGGCTTGAAAATCATGCAGAGCCTGTGTGAGTGCATGCCCTAAATCCCAAGAGAAGAATGGAAGAGAAGAGACTGCAGCATGGTTGTACTCTCCAGGGAATAACTTCTTACTTCCCCCCTCTCTCTTTCTCTCTCTGGTGAATGAAAGCACCCTATGGCAAAAATCCTAAAAAATAAAAAGTAAATTTAAAAAATGTAAACAGACCCAGAGAGCTACCTAGCTCCTTCTGCTATGTGAGAACCCAGGAAGAAGGCACTGTCTATGAGCAAGAAGGCCCCCATCAAACGTCAAATCTGTGGGCATCTTGACCTTGGGCTTGCCAGTCTCCAGAACTGTGAGAAATTAATGTGTGGTTTATAAGCCATTCAGTTTATGCTACTTTGGTTTTGGCACCCCAAAGGGACTAACACAATTTTAAGTTACCCATATATGAGTACCCTTAAGATATTACTAAGCAATATCTAGCTGTTTTCCAGCATAGCAAGGCACCTCTCCTGCTCACTTTTATGCCTCGCACTTAGAACAGGCGTGCCACACATGGAATGGGTTGGTCACTAGGTAGAGCAGGAGGCTGTGGCACAAGTTTGTTGCCTGAAGGCATCAAATTATGAAGTACTTTTACCTAAGTACTAATCATTTAATGTTTCTAGCATAACAACCAAACTGAGTTTCCCAAAGTGTGTTCATTCTGTAAATAAGCTACATACATGTCAACCCTCAAACTCATTGTCCCATTTTTCCCAATCCTCAGAAGACTCCATCCAAGAAAAGTGAGAACAAAATTCATCAAATAATATTAAGCTATAACTCACACAATAATTCAAAGTGTAAGGAAGTAACAATCATTGTCATAATCATCATTGCATCCTCCTTTTTTATATAAAAATTATTTTAATTCATTATTGATTCTCTGATTTGACCAGAGAGAGAGGAAGACAGAGACAGAGAAAGAAAGTGAGAAAGCAAGCCGCCAAGTCTGAGACTTGAACCATGGTTGACCATGTGAGAATCCAGTACATTAACTACTGAGTCCCGACTCAGCCCCTCACTTCCTCTTTTTTTTTTTTTTTAAAGAGAGATTTCTGCTATAGGGCACGTGCAAGCTCTCTGGAGAGACAGAGAGATGGAGACACAGAAAGCAAGAAATCACCTCCCGGGGCGATAGCCACACTGCACTCCTTTCTCCTCCATTCTCCGCTCAGGATCTTGGGCATACACCCACAGGCACCTGGCATGAGTTTACAGCCACTGCATCCAGGACTCAGACTGTGATCAACTACGTAGGAGTCCAGTGGCATAACCATTATGGCATCTGCTGGTCCCTTTCTTCCTCTTCTTAATAACTGACGTTTTCTTTCTACGTTTAAGGTCTCATATTAAAGAACTTTAATAATCTTCATTACAACCCTCCTTTATCAGAAGAGGCAACCAAAACCTTAGAGAAATTAAGTTAACTTGTACAAGATGACACAGTTTAGAAAGTCTGCTTGTGATATGATCCTGTAATACTGTCTTGCTATTTTCAAAGAGTCTTTAATCCACCAGTTTCACTCTTTATTTAAACGGGGGAAATGGTACTACTACAATATACAAAAGGCATATTAAAATTATCCCTTAGAGTGGGAGTTGGCAAATTACGGTGGACTGGCTACATAGTGTATGGAGACATTGTGACCTTCAAGTCGAAAGTATTTACTCTCTATACCTGTAAGGAGAAGTTTGCCAATAGCTGAATTAGGCGTTTTATAGTAACTTTGGTCTAGCCAAAGATCTCAATGAAGGTGAAGACTTCTTCCCTCTTTCATTTAAAAAATACGCCTAAGCACTAAAATATTCTTCAAAGTTTGAACAATTTTTAAAAAAGTACTCTTCAAAGTTTGAACAATTTTTTTATTGATTAGCAAAAAATAACTATTTTTCTATTTTTGTCCCTCCCAGTAATAC